GTTAAGATTTTTGCCTGATACATGTATTGTAGTGCTATAACTTGGTTCGGTTAAGAAGACCGTTTGTTTGCAATCTATAAATGGCCTACAATTTCGCTTGTCGGATTCTATCAGAATGTGTTCCTAATAGTGTGACTCATGAGCAAAGCGGAATACGATTTTTCGACACACTTAGATCAGTCGTGTCATTCAAATGTTTGCGTAATTACAGCATGCCCCATCACGGCTCTTATTTCTGTGTCGCGCAGCTAGTATTTTAGCAACTTGCGTACCTAGTACAGTGTCAGACTTTCCATTGTTGAGATGTATTTCGGCCCCGCGAGATAGAAGGGAGGGCGCGATTAGTTTTCCATCTTCAGCAAAGTCCAATCAGCTGAAAAATAGTGACGGCTATTGCGAAAGTAATAGGCCGGCTTTAAGGTTCTGAAAAATCTAATGAAATATGACCAGGATTCGAGATGGATGTTTCTATTCAGATGCCTGTTTGCTTGCTCGAATATCATCCACGCCGGTGAAATCCACTAATTCCTACATTTTTGCTGCTGATAACTTATTCCGGAAATAAGCCCTAAATGGTATGATTGCCTATCCGGCCTCAATGATATTTTTCCTCAAATTTCCTTATTCTGTACGATTAGCTGAATAGCCCGTTGTGTAAAAATGATAAAATAATAATAATACGAAGTGATATTTTGGTTCAAAATGACTATGGAAAAGTTTGACTATCTTATATTTTACAAAAATGTTTTCTAAATAGACATACATTGGAGCGTTTTGTGCTGATATCAAAATATTGAACAGCTCATAATAAATTGTCCATGTTTATCCAATTGTTGCTCAATGTACATCGAATAAATTACGTGACGCCTTGTGGGTTTTGTATCTTTAGAATGTTGGAATATTTCTGACAACGGACACAAGCAAGAGAAGGGGTTAGCGACTAATCGGATATTTGTTGAATTGAACATTAACTGTGTGGCAACCATTGCCGATACCATCACTAACTGTAACACTCGAGTGGCAAGTAAATGGATTCTAACTCATACGTAACTGTTTTCTGCGCACGTTTTCTTCTTTTTTGGTTGCGCCCCTGCTGTTATTAATGTTACTCAAAAATACTTTGCTCCCTATCCAATCTGCCGGTTGATATATATGTAGCTTACTCCGGTAAAGCGATGGTAACAATGAGGCGCTGAATTTTACCTAATTATGAAGACCGTCTTGTCATATGTTGTATGTTGGCGTAAACATTTGTAAATGTGTTGCTGCGTATCGTCGAGGTCAGATCGTATATGTCCTGCTGTAAACTGCAGAAGTACGACAAACAATAAATATTTGCGACTTGTTTTTTATTCCCTATAGCCGTATAATTACCAAGAATAAATAGACTCACGTCAGCACGACTCATTCTCCTCATAGGTGACAGAATAACTTTGCTGTTGTTGTGTTGTAGATAGAAATTCTCACTACCAAATTAAGGACAAAAACCTTGCTCCCAATAATGATGTCCTCAAACTACAAACTACTAGATTCAATGTTGGATTCCTGTCTAGGTGAGATTTGAATAAAGAAGATCCACCATGTGCAAACTCGCACAATGAATAAAACTCTTAAATTTCATTTGCCTTTCAGCAGTTTATGCTGATTTTCATCAGTGTTACTTCAAAATACCCGCCCCTTATCGCATGACCTTCCACAATATCAGAGATTGCCAAGTTACCTGGCCAAATCAGGCTCAGTAGAAATCACACTGGAGTTAGTAGTTGGAATTCGGATGCGGTAGCGAAGTCATAGTTGCTGGAATCAACAAAAAAGACAACTACAATTGATAATCATGCTTGAAGAGAAGAGGTTAAAAAGTTATGTTGTGTAAAAGCTTCCTAAGTTGGCTGGATTTTCGTAAGCAGATTATCTTCCATGAGATATATTTAGCATCTTGCAAAACTACCAACAGTTTGAGGCTTCATCTGCAGTACACTCAGTGAATATTTATTTAATATGGACCAGCACGGGACCGACAGGTTCAGGAAAGCTAAGTACCATCACCAATTAGTTGTCCACGTGTTGTGCATAATTTGCCACCATTACAAGTTGTGCAAATTCCCGTCGCCTGGGCAAAGAGAGCAGTTCATTGCACTTCTCCTTCCTTCAACGCGATTGTGCACCTGAATTTCGCCGCCATTTCTATGATGCTTGTAGGTAGTTAGAAATTCCACGTATGACGCATTTATCGCAGGAAATTTGCTGACAGAAATTTACATTGCGATGTTTTGAATAGTAGAAATGTACTTATTTCTGTGACATTCGGAGAATATTTGGATGTTGACATCAGACCAGTCTCCACTGATGAGTGTTTCCGACAGCAAACAAGGTTACTTCGTAATGAAAGACTATCAACGGTTACCGAAATTTACGATGAGTATATCGGACACTTGAGGAAAGGGACAAAGGAGTATCGCTCCATCAACAACAACATCATCATCATTGGCATCGTGAAATCAGTTTTTGGCAGCAATGCACCGCCACCGTAGATTTTATTGTTTGATCTACGTATGAGGGATGGTGGCGGTGGGATGGTGACAGGTTGCCAATATGTAGACAGCTGCGACACTGCGCTCCTTAACCGAAGACTCAGGCTGATTGGCCTAACAATAAAATAGCTGTATTTAGCTGAAATGGAAATGCGTTACAATTTCTATGGGAGAAGTTTTTATTTGTCCCAGTCACAGCTTGTGTTCGTCATACTACATTGTCCAACACTGTATGAGAGACCAACTTAGGTGAGAGGATGGCTTTGGTGCGCAAGCACTCATAACATGAAGGGTTCAGGCCCTTGTAACGAAAAAATCCCCCTCCACACGCTCCACACGCATCAAAACCCACACCCAAAATAGAAGGACCGCCGCAAACCCTACTCGCAGTTACTAGCTCCTTCCATCGGACGGAAGTTTGGACAACGGCCAAGTAGGATCAACAAAACTGAAACGTGGGCTAAAAGTGCACCGGCAAATGGGGAATTGGGCAACCATTGTTTTGGAGCACAGATAATTGGTTACACCTTTTACATGGCTGAAAGAGGATTCCTCACTTAGGTGACGTAATAGTATGGTTGCGCAATCGACGTCGAAGCTGAATTCAACCAGGTCATCAGGTAAATAGGCTGAATAAAGTCATCACGAGTTCATTTATCTTGAAGACCGCTTGCACCCTAGACGTTCGATAGCCGCCGATGCCTTCAAAATTTAATCCCCTCCTACAACGATAATCGCCTTAATATAGGGGCACCAATTTCAAACCGACATGATCAACTTTAACATGGATACTCACTCGTCACGTCCATTTTAGGTTGAACTAAGTCGATTGTCATAATAAACCCACCACTAGTAGTTGGTAACAAAAAGTCACGGATACATTGATACATGACTGCGTCATGAAAACAGGCTCAGTAGAGATCACAGTGCAGTAAGTAGTGGTAGTTTAGTTGACTTAGTAAACACATATTTGTTTCACTTAACGGTGGGTATAACCTTCCGATAATCCGACCGAAATTCGTCAACCTAGTTGGAATAGATTACGTTAAGAGATAATAAGTGACTGTTATTTTAAACATAACCTCAGTTGGATAGACGAAAATAATCCCTCTGTGTTAAAAAAAATTATCACTGAATAACATAACATAATAAGGCAAGCTATTTGATTTCTGAGACAGCAAAGTTAAAAGCCTATGTACGATGGCAAAATCTCATTAATTCATCTGTCCATTGAGGCTGATCGTAAGTAGGCACAAAATCTCATATGTGCCAGTCAAATTTTGAAGAGACCAACAACACTTGTCCCGGAAGACGGCTTTTAGGCCAGTCCAGCGCCTGACCTAGCCATCGTAGTCTGTCATGCCCAACGATTTTCCTATTGAGGTACCTGCGGCACAAGCAGATACCCATGTTTTAGTCACCTTGTTACTTACACTAATGGTAGCCAAAACCAGCTGAGTGTCTTGGATATCAGTGGTCAAAAGCCTGCGGACGCCTTACAACATCCCGCAGGATAAGTTCTCGCACTCAAACAACAACAACAAATCCCATACTGAACCTGGGTCGCGCGATTTTGGGATATTGTGATACACATTTTTGACGCAACTGGTGATCCAACTTAAGAAAAACGTGAAGTAGGTTTTGAGGTCCTCGCACTGACACAGGCAGCCGAACTTTCGGGAGGCAACACCACCGCTGTGGTGTGTTAATCTTTGTACAACGTCCTACGACCCTCCCAAAATCGTAAGGGACATTGTTACACACTGCACTTTCTGAAGCATGACACTGCACTTTTCAGCTGCTGGGCACACGCCAAAATGATATGGTAGTAGTCAGTCTATTTAACAGCGCGGGCGTTTTGGTGTTCTAAGTTGGCGCGATGTAATCTGCGTACTCCAAATGGACAATGTTCACAACAGCAACAATGAAGACCTTCTCGCATTGTCCCATCGTTCCACCATTTGGCGAAGCTAAACAGAAATCGAATACCATTTATGAAGAGTAGATTATGCACTCACATCTACGCAGAGGTATGTGAATATGGGCATCGGGGTATGTTTACAATCTTCTGTGGCAGATCTTCTTGAGCAAGGTTAGGTAGTAACCAAAATTTTTCAACAGACTCGAACGCACAAGTCTAGTTAAATAGTTCAAAGTTTATGGATTGCGTGCACAAATAGCCTTGCTTTAACAATGGACGGAGAGTGCAGGTGTGGACAACACAGCCTCTATCCGACCGAAATCACCCTTGATTCTTACGTGGTAACGATTTGAAAGCCGCCATGAGACGACGATAAATCAGTGACGCCAGAGGCTCTCTTACAACAGGTATCAAACTGAAATCACTATGATTTAGACCTTTATCGCGCAGATAATTTACGACAATGGGCACTACATTCGATCCCCGCCGGTTGGCTGGGACGGTCTTCTTTTACTAGACAGACTCAAATAGGCCAGACAGACACTGACCAGGAAATCCAACGTCATCCTTGGAAAGGGCAAGTGGGATGTCATCAGGACCAGCAGCAAGATGACCCTTAGACAGGGAAAAACAGTCAAACCTCTCTGTAAATGAAGGTGGCTAGAACTCCACGGTCCACCTTCTTGATGAAGGCTAGGATTCTGGAGTGGATGCAGATCAAAATACTGTGCCCAGTGGTCAAAACGTTCCACTGTGCGCCAAGTGTTTCCCTGGTAATTTTGCTGACATCTGGTTATCATGGGTCAGTCGACCATATTGCGGCCTTTTTCAGCATTGTATACATCTCCATCGTTTGGCCTTCCGCGTCCACCAAGCTTAAAGGCCTGCACGGATACTGAGATGGCGCATAGGGTCAGTTGTCACTGCGACCAGGAGGGATCTGTGACCAGGACAGCGGTCCAATGTTCGGATGAAGTTAGCTGAGTGGCACCACAGACAGACGTTCCGGCTTTGAGCAGCGCATTGGATATTTTTAGCAGTGGCTGTTTACATCCCATATCATACCGTTGGGTGAGTATTAGAGAGGCTGGTTCTGATAACTTCGTTTGAGTTTTGCGTCCACTAACTCCTGAATCGCTCAGCGGGGTTGTGTGCCGTTTGTAACAGAGCTGTAAGCTAACTTCATGAAACCTGCACTTGACGGGTTGAGGCACAATCAGTCATTCTTTAGGCCTAAAAAATAACCTATTGTCCGGGTTAAAACTGACTGTTGCTGGTGCCCGTTTTGCAATTTACGGTTTGTTTGTGCATTCAAACGCTATTATAAGCATTGTCTTTTGGTATTTATTGTGTGCTTTTCATTATATGTGCCCCTGACTACTGCGCATCGGATACTGAAAATTTGACAGTGAGGTGAGCAGTGTCCCCAAGACAAACAATATTAAGCCCTCTAGTAGGATTGGTTAAACAAAATCACCCTCGTCAGGTTTATGTACGGAATCGCAAAGTGTAACCTGTATTTCGAAAAGCCTGTTGAGACACAACCTGACGCTTAGTGGTTTACCTACATACTTTACCGTTGTAGTGGTAAAATCCATACGTGAATCTTTCCGGAGTTGTTAATTTCAGCGGTATCAGGTGACTTATTGACTTAGTTATCAAACCGCTGAAATCGACGATTTTATGAATATTACGGCGGCGGTACAGCCAGCCTAATTTTCTACTGTGGAGGTCACTTGGAACAAGCGCTCATGGGCTTTTTATGACGTACAATGCTTCTTCATACACGGAAGCACGACGTTCTAATAGGGTTCACGTTCAACTCCTAACCCTTTTTTTATACTCAATTTATCGCCGGAACTGCAAAACACCCGAAATTGTTTTTTCAGCCTTGTTTTTTTCCACATGTTCTGGGTGCGCATTGACCTTATTTTTGCCAGTCAGCTGAATTAATCCAAACTTTAGAGCTGAGGTTTTGATGGAGGCAGCGACTATAGAAAGCAACTGTGAAAATCAAGCTGGAGGACTAAAAAACATAGGGTCACGTGCGCACCAGCAAAGTCACTTCATTCATAAAGTCCCATCGTGAAAATCATTTTTTCGTGTGTTAGTCTCTCAACAACGGAAGGAAGACAACAGCTGTCCTCAGACAGGTTGGTGAATAGACTTAAAGGCTTGTTTTTATAGGAATGAAGTGAAAAACTGAAATGCGTGCGGTATTAATACTCAGCTCCAATTTGCATTGAGGTAGAACGGATAGCTATGGACCTTGAAATTTCAGGAGCCTGAATTATCAAAGGCGTAACATAAATTCACGACTTTTTTATGTACCAGGTACATTTCCCTTGGTACGGTTTGAATTGGTCAGATTATGCGCGTTGCTACGAGCCGCCGTGAACATTATCCAGTGGCAGATGAAAACATTTATGTTCCGTCGCTTATGTAAACACTAAAAATCTGTAACTCTAAGGGGAAATCCCTGGGTGCAGAATTTTGGTATGCTGGCTACAAAGCGTCCCTCGCGAAAGATATAATCTCACGAAGAGTGATGATGAATGATCGGCATCGAAATGGGGAAATCCCGGAAGCTCTGACCACATTTCCGAGGTGAATGCACGGCTGGACAGATACACGAAGATTGCCATTGAAACACCATTCTATTCCAAGAAAGCGCTGATAGGAGTGAACTCATAACGGCGGGTAAGAAAGAACTATCCAACAGTTATCCGTAGTCCCCGGCGAATGGAGAACAATGGAGGCTGGATTTTACTCTATTCAAACCAGCTTTATTGGCTGTTCAAAATAAGTTGAATTGATTTAGCAAAAGTAAGAACAGAATAGAATGAATATTAAGACGGGCCAATGCTCCACTCTTCATTCAATGTGTGGGGGCGACTGGTGTGCAGTAGGCCTTCTCAAATGGCTTTTGTGAAATGTTTGAGATGATGTATAAATCATTGAGGCTGTGCACCGACATTCATGGAAAACTTTTCCGAGTGAAACTATGGCTGCTATGGAGAATCAACAATTGCCGCAAATATTGTACGTGTCATCTTCAGCGGCCTATGAATCAGATCAATGGATTCGTCTATCGGACTTAGAAGCAAAGGTGACAAATTTCAGACAAACTGGGGAAAGATTTTGGGGTTATGCAGAATCTTGACTGGCTGGATGTCAACTTCTAACTATTCCATATATCACTTGTGAAACAAAAGCGGTTCGTGCGGTATCACTAATTTGGAGCTAGTTTAGCATGAGTTGTTTAATTAATCTTCTATCCAATCTTCATTTGTGTTTAGAAAATCACACGCGCTAGGTAAAGCGAGACACCAAACATCGATTATAATCGAAAGTAAACGCACCCAGTCTAGTGGATTTACCATGTCCAGGTAACCATATTCACCATGAGCATAGCGTTATTCGCTGGATCCGTGAACCCTTAATACAGTAGAACCGCATACACTTGGTTTGAATCTTTTAAATGGTTTTTCGACAAGCTTAAAATTCAGCATTGAATGATGTAACTTGCTCAGCCTTTCCCACGAAAGCTCGTCGGAGTAAAGATATTTTTGGGGCCGCTTGATTTTTTATTGTGTACAAACATTCACTGTCCTAGATCGCTTGGTAGTTCAAGTCTACGAGGATTGATCGGCCGAGCATTTTGATTGCTACAACTGCACCACGCATATTCCTTGCGCTGAAAATGGTGAACTTTCCTAAACTGAAAACATGTGATGGTTGGGTCTTCACATTTACACGAACTCACTAGTACTTGGATTCAAAACTACGAAAAATTTAAAATCATGGGGATCTACTCGACATTTTGTAAGTCTCGCTATCTTTTTTGGCGTTCTGGGCCACAAAACGGCCCATCGCTTCTACCGCAAGCGACCGTCCCACGGGGAAACTTAACACTTATCTTTAGGTGTCTAGTGGTGCGGCGCAAATACAATACAAAATTGCGATCCAACGATGTGTTTGACCCATATGGAGTCTGAGCTTCCACGGTTTTCCTGCGCCCAGAAATAGTTCGCATCAGAAAACTTACACATTATAGGTACGTACGACTAACCGAGGTAAAACATGAGGTCTCTCTTGATACCGTCCAGGAAAAAACTCACGTTTCGTTAATCCTTCCGTCAGCTGTACTCAAGCGTCTTGATTGCTTTGCGTTCCATTGTTAGAAGTTCGTTCTCTATAACAGTACCTGGGTATAAAGAAGATGGTTTCCACTGTTCGTTATCCGGTGGAAAATCGCAATGCAGACAGTCATGTTTAGCCAGAATTTAGTTGTTAGCCACAAAAGATGGCAAGACTGGCAAGTACAGACCTTCACTTAGTGCATCTATTTCTATTAAATAAACAGTTTGCGGATTTCTTGAAAAAATTGTCTGAATAGATCGGTTATTCGCAGTCAATCGAACTGCACGAAGGCAACGATCGCCGTTTGCATGTTTCCGGGATAGCATTTACCCATCTTGAACCACTTGATGTACAACAACAGCATCATTCTGCAAATATTTGCAAACATTGCGTTGCATTAGTTGTCATGGCTACTACCATTTGAGCGGATCAAGCACCATTTAAATCTCTATATCCCTGATTTTGTCACGTGTGGATGTGTTTAGTTCTACGTCAGTCCCATGTCATTTATAGAGATGATTTTTGAGTTTCCTGCTTGTCCTACTTAGATGTCTAACAATTACCACCCATACCCCAAGAAAAAGTTCATTCATTGACATTTTAGGACTTGTACTGTTATTTTGGCTCAACTGATGATGATTCTGGGACACTTGACGAATAATAGCAAATTAAAATGTGCCATTCGCTGACTGTTTAACCATTAGTTTATCCTTCATTTTCTGAAAATCTATTTGAAAACCTCTGCTCACTTCGGAAGAGTGGATGACCGGAAATTTTGGCAGCATTGGCTGTCTTGCCCATCAGTAAAGCCCTCACACGTATCGGCTGTCTTAGTGGAATCAAGATGGAATAAATCACAAGAAAACACGGGAAACTGTAAAATTTGTTTATAATTTTCTCGCGTTATAATGGCAAAATTGTCATCTTTTGCAGATGGAATTCCGACATACAACGAAACTCCTCCGTAAAATAATTTGCAGACAACCGCTGATCAGACGTGCTGCAGAACGTTGAGATGAATGTTGACCATGAAGAAGTGCGTTGTAGCAAAACGTCGTTGCAAAGTGACCAATGGACGGTGATGACATCGCCCAATGAAGAGCACACCCAACAATCGTTTTCCGTTTGCGATTGCGTGGGCTGGTGTATGATAGTTCCCATTTTTTTTTCCTTT